TACTTAAAAATACTAAAGCTCTACTTCCTGTATTTTTTTAAACTTTAAATTTAATTTGTTTTGAAGATGCAAGACTAACTTTTTTTTAAACAGCATCACAATCGTAAAGTTTTGAATCGAAGAATTTTTTCTGAATTCAGAACTGCAACACATGCATACACTTTTTTTTAACTAAAACGTCAAATAAATTCTAAAATAAAAAATGTAAGTAGTTAGTTTTGAAAATACTGTCATCGATTTTGTGTACCTACTAAAAAGCAAAAAGCTACATCCAGCTTTAAAAAGATTTCAATAAAACACTAAAATGGCAACCTCTAGGTCGACGGTTTCAAAAAAGTTGCGGAGATTTAACGAAACTGGTAATGTTAGAAATCGTCAAAGGACCGGAAGACTAAAAAATGTTACAAATGACGAGAATTCTTTTAATATCATGTTAAACTCGTATTTCAAAATATTTAATAATAGGTTATGCATACTGTAAACAGAATACGGTAAATATGAGTAAGTACCTAGTATATGTGTTCAAAGTCTTTCATCGAGAAGATGAATTCATTGCGCAATATAAGTTAATAGGAACAATCGTAATTCTCATTTTAATTTTTATTCACGACTATTTGGAAAAGTGTTTATTATACTTACATAAAAAAGGAGAGGTGTGTCCTTTCGGCTCATCGTGCAGTGTATCAAAACCACGGTGTATAATAAGTTAGGTGTTACGACGAAGCGTATTCTCCGTGCATCGACTTGACGCCGGTTTAGTCACGATGAGCGGTCGAGAGAGACAGACAGCGGCGGCCTGTAACCTCTCACTTAGATCTGTTTAGCAGCGTTTGGCGGGCTTTTTCCCTCTCTAGGTGTGACAGATTTTGCTAGGTTTTTTCTGCGATTTCTTACTTGTTTTTTGATTTATCAATAAAAATGGGTAGAAAATGTGTTGTGCCTAATTGTTCTAGCGGATACAATGGTAATCCCGAAAAAGTGTCGGTGTTTCGGGTACCTAAAGACAGATTATTGGAATGGCACTTTTATTGCAGTAGTGAACTGCTGCTTTTGAACAACACTTTGCACTAAAAAATACTGGTCGTCGCTATAGTAATAGTAGGCATTTTACGTTGAATTTTATTTTTACTTAAAACAATTACTCCCTTTTTATCGTTTATGTGTTATGTTTTAACATTCAAGAAACAGAATTTATGTTTATTTTCAGAAGGTTTTTGAATGCGATATGTATTTTTTTTTATTCCACATAAACTATATTTTTTGCAGAGATTTTTCGGCACAATTCGACAAGCAGGTTGTGCCAATGGACATTCCTTATCTATAACTCTTTGCAGCTATACCGAATGTTATCGGACTATAAATTATTAAAACCTCCGAAATTTGGTAATTGCATACAGATGCAGGAAAATAGTACCTAATGCAAATCATTCGTTATCATTTAATGACTCCAAAAATATTTTTGAAACAAATACCAGAATGCGGGAAAAATCATGTTGACAAAATAAAAAGGAAAATTGAATATATTTTAGATACAGATTCACCGATTAACGAAATAGACGAACAACTATTTGAAGATGTCACTACAACTAAAATTGTTGACAACATCATTTATTAGTCAGCTGGATTTGTCGCAAAAAAATTGTACAATACTTCAAAATGTAATATTTGCCGTGAACAGTTAGGGTAAATGTGTACAAGAGTACGCACTTAGTGTAAAACTGTCAATAACTTTTTAATTATTTTGGATAGACAAATTTTATGACATGGGTTCGTCATATACATGTTTAGAGATCAGATATATTTAATTGTACGTCCCAAGACCACTATATTTTAAGAGTAATTTCAATTTTTGTCAAGATGTGTAAATCCGCACTCTTAGACAGTCCACTGCACAAGAGTGCGCACTTGAACGCTTATGAGTGCGCATTACATTTTATGAAAAAAATCTTTATTTCTAAGGTGAAAATAAATAGGGACAAGTGACTACAGACTACACATACAACGGGATCCATATTTCTTCGTACTCTACGGGTCTTGAAATTCGAGAAAACGTAAAAGTAGAGAGTCGGTCGACGGACTCGATCACAATACTTCATTCGCTTACGCTCAGGAAGTAAAAATTAAAAAACAAACATCACCATAACCACCACCACACAACTTGAGAAGCAGTACAAAGTAGTAGAGTTAAATAATTCATTATAGTAGATATCATATGTATCTATAAGACTACGTATCGCAAGTATTGCGCACTCTTGTACATTTGTACATAACCTAATGTTTTCAAAGTTAAAAGCTTTTGATGTATAGAAAGTATAAAACTGCTAGTGTATAACGACACCTTAAAAGTTACAGCTAATGAACATTATTACTGTAAAATAAAAGAACTGGTACGTACCTTACAAAAAACTAAAACTATGAGCTGTAAAAATTACATCCACACAACGCGTAAACATAAAATCGTCAGTACGATCAAACTATAAACTATATACAGGTCACTGTTGCACCTTTATCTCAAGTTTAGCATTTGATTGTGAATGGTATAACTTCATCTTACCCAGATGGCACTAATAAGCAGAAATCATCAGTGCGTACTCTTATACATATGCGCACTCTTGTACACATTTACCCTATATAACAAAGAAGATCCATGTTCTAGTACATTTGAATTTACTAGTACAAAATCCAGGGGGTGGTTAAACCATCCAGATTTGTTAATGTTTAATATGTTCCGATGGGTGGAATGGATACTTATGAAATATATCGATTTTGTGGATGTATTCGATGCAACAATTGAAGAGCTATCCGCAACAAAAATTTTTATGACTATTTACTTTCCTTTTTCTTGTGAAGAGCATAGAATGGAATTATTTTCAAAGGCAATATATTTTTACACAATTATGCGAATTAAACAATTTTATAAACAGGAACAAGAGAAAACAACCAAGGCATGTGCAGAAAAAAGAAAAGAGTCTCGATTACAGACTACGTAATAATGGTAAATTTTTATTTCTCAAACAGTAAAGCAGATAATGGTTAATGGATATTTTTTAGTTGTCTTGTCAAACGAACAGAACTGAGTGAAACTAATATAATATGTGAAGGCGAAAAGAACTATCTTTAACAACGAGCTTACATTCATCTTTTTAAATAAATTATTATTTTAAAAATGTTTAAAGTTTTTATTTTAATACAACGGATAATTAATTTTGATGATTTTTTGACCTAAATGGCTTTAATTCCGACAAATACTTCTCCCGTCTCTTTCCCGTCAGTGCGATTAAATGATGGCCGCCCTCTTCTGTTTCTCTCACTCCAAATCTGTGACTAGTTGGGGACACGTTTCACGCGCTCGTCGGAACACCTAACTTATTATACACCGTGATCAAAACTAAGTATATCGTTTACCTTACAAATATGACTAATTTGTTTGTATGAATGAAACACAAATATTGCACACTTAGCACCAAAACTTCGAATAGATAATTTTCAATATTCACTACTTTAAATTAATAGCTATCTACACACACAACACTGTACATTGACACTGTTTAATGAAGTGGCAGGATTTAACCACAGCTTTATCTAGACTGATGGGTATATTTGCAAAGAACTAAGTAGGTACACATAGATTGTGATAACTTCTTGAACTATCAAATCCTACGATATAAATTTTAGTAGTACCTTTTATAGGGACAGCATTATCAGTAAATGTTATGAGTTATTTATTTTGTGACTCTACCATCTTCAGACAACTACCTACACTTTCTGCATCGTTTCAATTTATCTACCCATCTAAATTATCAGTTTTTTTGGCGAAAATATGTTGTCAATGTTTTTATAAATCTGTCGGTTGCTCAAATCTGGTGTCAAACCTTTTAATTCGTTGTGACATTGATGAGGGCTTCTTTCAAAATTACCTGTTTTCTCGGCATTGCTGACAATTTTCAGAAATTTGTCATGAAATTTTAAATTTGAATTTTTCACTACCAACAGTGTAGAAATAACTTCTAGAGGAATTTTATTTAGTACCAACCTAATTCAACAGGTTAATTTTGGGCAAATAGTAAATGTTATCATATTGGTTAATAACAATCAAGCTGCAACCAACAACACTTATCTTTTTTTATGTCAATACATCGGAAGAATGTCACGTAGAGATGTGTTTGATTTGAATGTATTTATCACCTCAAAACAGAGGACTAAAATTAATAATAAGCCTATGAGAATCTTACTCTTATTTTTAATCATTATTAAATAAAGACGTTTTCTTAATTTCATCATTAAAAAATGAGAGTGATTAATTTTATTAAATTTATTTTACTTACCTATCTAATAAAAAAAGTATGTCGATCGCTAGTTTCATCCCGATGACATAATTTATTATATGTGCATTATTTTTGTACGTTCGTCATATAACTTTATTCTTTTGCACTATTTTTCTAGTCTTGAATTTTATTAAGTTCAATTTTTAAAATTAAATTGAGGGCCATTGAAAGACTCCGCCTCTTCTGTGTGATTAGTCCGCATGGATGCTGAAAATAACGTATCCTTTTGGTTGCTTTGTACCCTAGACAGGGAAGCAACCCTGTGCAATGATTGGTCCACCACCAAAGCGAGTAAACACTACATCAACTGCCACGTTACAGAGTGAGACAAAATCCCTGCAGCGTCAAGTTGAAAATAACCATTGAGCCAAATATTATGGTATGTCGGCGAATGTAAATTACAGCCGAATATTTTAATTCCTACCTATAACCTGCAACGGTATCTTTGATGAAAAATTTGTTTGTGTCTACCAAATAATATAATGAAAATTTTATTTTGTTATGATTATGGGAACTCATTTTAAAAGAATTACGAAATTATTTCCTCTTTTACGTGCTATTGAACACGTAGCTTTGATAAAGATTATTCAATAGTAGATAATTTTTTTTTTGGAAGTATTGATGACAAGAAGCAAGTAATAAATAATGCTGCAGAATTTTCAATAAGGCAAATAATTGTAAAACACAACTAAATTTATTGTAAAGGAAAAAATTAAATATACATAAAATATAACTAAAGAAATATAAATTCTTCTTCAACAAATTCTCGTTAATTTATCTCCTGATTATTTCAAAAGAAAAACTATACAAACACCTCCTGTTCTTCCTATTTTAAAATTATTAGACTCATTTATAAATTATGTAACGTTAAATAACGTTTCGGTTTTTCCATAACCAGTACATGCCACCAATTTACCAGTTGTTCCGACAATTAACAGGTGGCTCGCCATTTGACGTAGAAATAGCCTTCGACTTATTTTTGTTGGAGTAAATTTTCATGTTTATACTTCAAAAGGTTGGGGTATCTTTCTTTCTTGCCTTTCTATTTTGTATTGTACGTATTTACGAACACAGTAGATCATTGGTGGTACTACCAGAACGGCCACGATTATAAAAACTAAAACAAAAACACTGAATTAACCCTCGGATGCCCAAGCCTGGGTCAAATTTGACCCACGAACCACTTTTTTGTGATTCTTTTCTTCAATCTCTTAAATTTTTTCTCCTGAATTTTATTTTTTGCCTGTTTTGGTGTTGTCAACAATATGTGAATACTTGCCGCCACTTGATTTTAGTTACATGATAGTTATCACATATTTGTTGCAGTGGGTCAATTTTGACCGACTTTGGGTCTTCAACTTATAGATGTTTTAACAAGATGTTAAATGAGTAGGCATGTAATAGATAAACAAAAAGATGGTCTTTGGTTCAGTTTATGAATTTCCTAAACCTTGCGGCCATAAATGCATACATTATATATATAAAATATAAAACTCAGTTTACGGACCAAGTGTTTCTTGAAGAAGACGATTATTTCTCAAAGAGATCGGTCTTCAGCTAGTGAAGCCTACCATTCAAAGACGGGTTGATAATGGATTTAATTGTGTTCCTCGAGGTGTATAAATGGTAATTGGCACTGTAGTTGATACAAAAATAGTTACAAGGATAGGGAATCCAGAAACGAAAAAAGAGAAAAATGTGGGCTTTGTGTCGGTAATGCTAACAAATATTCTGATAAATGCGGACAATGCGGCATTTTTTGTTGCAAGGCACAAGTAACAATTGATGTGTTAAAAATGTACCAAAGCTGTACACAATAAAACTATCGAATTTGAAGTATTTTATTGGTATGTTATCTTAAATCTTAACTGTTGTTTTTTTATAAACAAATATTTCTTTTATTGATATTAATGACAAAAATTTTTGTTTTGTGACCTTTTTTTCATTAATACATAATAAATAGGCAATTGGAATTTGAAATAATAAAATCTAAAGCAAAATTAGGATGGGTCAAATTTGACCCAGCTTGGGTGTCTATGTAAAAAAAAAATAGCTTAGGCATCCGAGTGTTAATGACATAAAAATTTCATAATTTCGTGCGTAACAATAGAAAAAGTATAGTGTCTTATTATACTAAAATGGTAAGCTACTACGATCCTAATGCGAAAGGCCGACTCGGTATTGTCAACCAAATAATCTGAATTATGTCATAAATTTGTTTAGTTTGTATGTATTTTCAGTAATCGTACTGTACCTATACTACTAGCCTCCGAATGTTGTCCCTCATTCTTCGTTATATTCCTATTTAGAGCAGGGGATCTTGTGACGTGATCTATAAAAAACAAACTCCAGTTAAATAAATGTATAAACAATATTACTGAAGATCAATCTACACCTCTTTTTCTTTATGACTGAAACGATTTTTAAAAATATTTAAGACGAGTCGAAACAAAAAAAAAGTTAAACAAATCGTTAGGTTATTTAGATCGTTAAAGTCAAAACGACTGATTGGAGGTCGTTATCATAAACTATAACCAAAAAGAGTAAAATTTTGGTGAACTATTTCATCACGTATATTTAGAAATCAATATTAATTATGTATTTATCGAGACTTCGGCACGCGATTATCACTAGCATTATCTGTTTGCAGAACGCTATAAAGCGTAACGGAACAATTGTGGACTTTTTTTTATCAGAAATTAAATACAAACATGGATTTTTTTCGAGATGACGAGAAAGTGTTTAAACAAACTGCCTCGACGTTATCTTACCAAGTTTCACGTAAAGATAAAAAAATTTCTAGCCATTTGTCAAAACAATTTTACGTCAAATTTTTAAAAGTTATGTCGTCTTTAACGATTTTTTTAAATAGGAAGGTGTAATTTTGATTGCATTACTTGATAAAGCTTATTTTTGTACCTTGATGTAGGGGTTGCACAACAAAACAAAATGAAATATTAAAGAAAGAAAACAATACGTTGGGGTAAAAATTTATGCTATTGAAATTGTTCAAACTGTTCCCCATTCACTATATTTAACAGAAACCCAGGCGGTGGTAGGCCTGATTAACGGAATTTTCGATACTCTGGGGACTTATACTAGTTATTACATGACGAATTCGTGCTTTTAAGTCGTCTAAAATTATCGGGTTTGTTCATGTAAACACGATTTTTTAAATGCCCCCATAAAAAAAAACAAACCAAGGGGTGTTAGATCCGGAGACCTAGGTGGCCATTCCATTGGTCCACGCCTTCTAATCCACTTTCCCTTTGACAGATTTTTGTTTTAATTTTTAGTTATTTATTATGTTTATTTAGTTTGTTATTAATTTTTTCCATTTTTTCTTGTTATGCAACCCCCACTTCAAGTTACATTTTCATATGTAGAAAAAATAACCTTTATCAAATAATCCGATCAAAATTAGGTATCTCATTTAAAAAAGTCATTGATGACGTCATAACTTTTACAATTTTGACGCAAATTTTTTGACAGATGTCAAAAGGTGAAGAGTAAAATGAAAGGCTTGACATGTTTGTGCATTTTTTTTTAACAAATGCTGCGCTTTTAATGAATTTTGTGCATTTCTTTATCTTAACCTTGTATATAAATATTTGGAAACGTATCGAAAACCCCAGAAGAACGAAACTCATGATCTGGTCATACCTGTGTAGTTTAACAGAAATTAAAAACAGAAATGTTGATTTATATTATGATTTAAATTTATTTGTTTTCAGTGCGACGTCAAAACTTGTGATACCATCAAACCACTTTGTAGTCACACCATCACACTGATAACAACTGATAAGATGCAACGATGCGCAAATTCCACCCGAACCTATTTACATTTACTGTTTAGATAATATTTTTACTATATCTTGCGTAAAAACCAATTATCCTGCTACTTTACATTTCTTAACAAAAAAAAGGAACGCAAATACTTAATATTGTTACGTTTGACGGGCGAATAATTAGTTGGGCATAGGTTAAAACTCAACAATTTATTCCTTTCATTTCCCGACTGTGGCCTCTATTTAAATCCAAATTTCGGCGATCCAGCTCTTTCTCGAATTGGGTATTCGCGACTTCCGCTTCCAGGCTTTTCGAGCTTCTATCCGCGCGGCCGATGAGTCAGACTACATACGAGAAACAACGCGTACATTCTAGAAGACACATAGGCGTCGTACCGGGGCGGCGTATGGGCTTATTTTGTAACAATATAAAACTTGTTTGTATGTACCACCTACCTGGATTAACATCAAGTTGACCGTCGTTTTTTCTACAATCCGGATGAATGCAATCGACATGGCATGGGTGTGTTTCGGAACCGTTTCTGCACACTGAAATGTACTTTTGTCAATAAGTAAATTTATAAACTTTCAAACACACTAAAGTTGGTAATATTTTAACGATACGAAAAATCAATAATTTTACTTTACCGTAGTTGACAGGTTTGACTTCAAATCAGGACAGTTAAATTCAGCTGAAGATGTATGACTAGAAACGTGCATAATTAATAAAGAATTTAAGAAAATAAAATTAAATGCAATTTATTTATTTATTAATTTATTTTTGGTTTTATTTATTTTTTATTTTTTATTTAGCGCTAAGCTTTCAAGTGATTAAATTTGTATTATATTTAGAAATACTAGGAAATAATTAGCGTGTAAACAGTAGGTATTATTAGACTGAGCTTATCTGTCAGCTGATAATCAAGGACAGCTACTTGACAACGATAAATAAATTACCTAAGTTAATCACTATAATGTACTTACTACAAAAAACGTAAATACATGGACTTACCTTTCGAAATTTTCCAAAAAGCATCGTTTGAGACACATTTAAAGGTTACGCTATCCAAAGGACCATCAGCTATTTTCACTAGTGTCAAATTGCAGACAACTTGAACCTTTTCGGGGGTGGATACAATTTCATATTTGTAACATTCATGAAGTTTACTTTCGGGATGGTAGGTAGAGGAACGGGTTTTTTCCCTCAAATAAATACGGAAGTCTTCGCAGTTGCATGCTACAGCTGTTATATTACTTTCTTTTATGTGAATCAGACTTCCTTCAAAGGAAAGAAAATCTTGAGCAACGTCTAAAAAAATTAAAATCGTTATCATTGTATCTGTTCGTAGGTACAATATTATTTATTTTTGAATTGTTGAAAGGAGTCAGGAAAATGTAGCTATAATGAAAAAAAAATTGAAAAAATGAGACAAAAGGAAACAAATAAAGAAAACAAAAAAAGTGGATAGTTCATTAATAGTATTAGATAATAATAAAAAGATGTAATATCATGACTTAAAATTACGATAAGTATTTCCAGCAGTCGCCAGTGCGTCTATAGTAGGTACTTCATTTTATCAGATAGTTCCGCATTATTTGCGCTTTCATCATAAAATGAGGCGTAGAAATTGAACGCAAATAAAATAATATCGTTTTGATTTATATTATAATTATTTCGTTGCACCAGATGTATCATGTGGTTGCTATGTTGTATAAGTCAAAAGTTGTATTTTTATAAATTTTATTTTTAAATTTGATTGTCTCGATAAACCTCAACAAATATTTGCGTTGAATTATCAATTTTCTCGGAAGAATGGATTAATCAATTTTAACGACACCGGTAACTGTTTTAAAAATAGATAGATACTCCGATCATAAATGATACAACACTTAATAAAAAAAAGTTAGGAAGAAATAAATGCCTGAGTTTGGTGGTTAATTGACATAACTATGTCGCCATCATTTATAGCCAGTGTAGATTAAGGGAGGACACACATTTAAACTAGGTCAGAAAATTTATTTGTTTTACGGATCTGATGTTCTGAAAAAATGTTAAGTTCCATTTTGTGGCGTAACCTACTTAGACGCAATCGCAGTCAACAAATTTACGACGCCGGTACAAAAACCAACAAAATTTTTGCAAACAGGGTGACGTGATATTTTTATAAATACACATTGATAGATTTTCCAAAAAAACGCATTCGTATTTGATAAGGTAGATAAAAAAGAGAGTAGGTCAGTTTTTTGTTACAATTGATTACTCACCCTGCGAATTTTCCGGCGAAAAAGTCTCTTGACGGGTTAGCGGAAGTAGAGCTGACATGGTTATCAAAAATACTGTAAAAATCGACATGTTGTTTCACTGAGAACGTCTAACGAAAAATGAGCTTTCTTAACCAATGCTTGTAAGGTAATAATTTAATCAGATAAGATGCAGATAAGTGATAAAAATCATAACCTCGACTAATGGGAGTACAATTGAAACAAACAACACGAATTAAAAATAATAATAGAAAATAATCAAGTTGTGTTTGAAATTTTATGAATTTTGTTGTCTCGTCGTCGCCTGTTGCAAATGTTACTCGTGATTCATAGTCATAACAATCCAACGTTTGCATGCAGTGTTTTCTGATCAGTAGGCACCCAGTAATTCAAGCGGTGTGGAACTTGCTACTTGCGACATGAAAGCGGCAAAGTCTTATTGGGCCCATTGTACCTTCCCCAAGTCCATATCAGGGTGTTTCCCCGCTCCTCTACTCGTCAAGCCACCCAACCGGTTGAATGTACTTGAGTAATGCAGAGGGTGGAAACTCCCTGATATTTGCCATACTAGGCCAGATGTCCCCTAGTATGGATTCCCTGTAGGAGGCTAGGGCTGGACACTCACGAAGAATGTGCTCAGCTGTTTCCTCTTCTTCATTGCATCCACGACAGATTGGATCTGTTACCACCCCTATCGTATGTAGATGTTTGTTAAACTGGTAATGTCCCGTAAGGAATCCTACCAGTTTACGCAGTTTGTCCCTTGAAAGTGAGAGATAAAATTTGGTCAACTTACGGTCTGGTGTCGCCATACAAGCTCTACTATGCCGACAGCTCCTCAACTTCACCCATATCTGCTCATGGCGTCTCTGGGTGTATTGCTTTACGAGTTCGTTGGAGAGGGTGACCGAAGGCGTGATTGCCGGTTCTGGTCCCCAGAAGGGCATGCGCGCGGCTCGCTTCGCCATCTCATCTGCCCTCTCGTTTCCTTCGTTGCCACTGTGTAATTTGATCCAACAAAGTTCCACACTATTCCTCTGCATTACATACTTTAGCGTTTGTCTGCACTCCCAAACTAGCCCAGATCGAACCATACAGCTGTCCAGGGCTAGTAGTGCCGACTTGCTGTCAGTAAGTATGCCTATTGATTTGTTGCCGATTTCACGTTCACCAATGATTCTAGCTCCCAGCATTATTCCCATCAGTTCTGTTTGTAGGACAGACGTGTGGGTGCCGAGAGGTACACTGATTTGTGCGTTGAGTTGTTCGGAGTAGATGCCGGCTCCTGAACCACTATCTGTTTTGGCACCATCGAGATAGATATCTATGTCGGCTCGTCCTTCTGAATTATCATTCATTGATATTCTATATGTCTTCTCATATATTATTTTGTGCCCATTCGGTCACAACCCATCCTTAACAAGGGTATTCTGTTGAACGCCTCCGTTAAGATCCGAGTGTGCTTCGTTGTGCGGCCTTGCTTGTTCCATACGCCCAGAGAGTGAAGTCTTAGAGACGTCGTCATTGCCGCTTCCTCTATGTAAAGGTTAAGAGGTGCTAAGCAAAGAAGAGTCTCCAGAGCCGCTGTGGGAGTGGTCCTCATTGCTCCTGTAACACTGAGGCACGCCGTTCTCTGAACGTGTTCAAGTTGCAGGGCTGTTGTTTTTTGTCTGGCTCTGGGCCACCAAACTAAAGCTCCATAGCACAGCATCGGTCTGACTATTGCCGTGTAGATCCAGAGGGCGATCTTGGGATTTAAACCCCACGACCTTCTCACCACCCTACGACATTGCCAAAGAGCCGAGCGTGCCTTTCCACTTTATCATCTACATGCTTCTTCCAATTCAGTCGCCAGTCCAATACAACTCCCAGATATTTGACTTCGTCCAAAAGTTGAAGCGTTGTGTTAAATATTTTTGGCATCTGTAGTGTACCAATTTTCCTTTTCCTAGTGAACAGGATTAGTTTCGTCTTTTCTCCATTAACGGAGAGGGTATGCCTGCTGCACCATTCCTCGACTATTTTTACTGCAGCTTGCATTATCTCACATAATGTATCTGCGTTTTTTCCTGTTAGCAGAATGACTAGATCGTCCGCGTATCCAATTGTGTGGTAGCCAAGATCATTGAGGCGTCGTATCAGGCTGTCAACGACAGTATCCCACAGTACAGGAGAGAGAACTCCTCCCTGAGGACATCCTCTGTCTACAACAGCCTCGATCTCAGTGCCACCTACATTAATCATTACTTCCCTATTCCTCAGCATGCCGGCCACCCACCTACTTAGGGTGGGGTCCACGTCGTGCTCTCGTAGGGCTAGTTCTATGCTTTTGAAGGTCGTTTTATCAAACGCTCCTTCAATATCCAAAAACATTCCTAAGGTGAAGAGTTTGTTCTCCATCGCCCACTCTATACGGTTTACAACTGTGTGTAGGGCCGTATCGGTGGATCTTCCTTGGATGTAGGCATGTGGGTTCGAATGTAGAAGTTGCTTGCTCAAAGCAGTCTCCCGAATCTCTTTTTCGTTTAGTCTTTCTAGCGTTTTCAGCAAGCTAATTGGTCTATAGGATTCAGCCAAGGTGTAATCTTGTCGTCCTGGCTTAGGTATAAAGATAACCTTTACTTTTCGCCATGCATTTGGTATGTAGCTGAAAGCCAGACACGCCCGAAGCATTGGCAACAAAATAGGGCGTAGTCTGCTCATTCCACTCTGCAGGAGGGCGGGATAAATACCGTCAACTCCTGGAGATTTGTATGGGGAAAATCTGTCCACTGCCCACTCCAGTTTTGCCTCCGTGACTACCTTTGCCGCCAGCGCACAGTCCTTCGGAGAAGGTTGAGTACCGGCTACATCCCTTTTGGAATGGCAGGTAGTCCTTGTGCTGTGTGGAAACATGGTCTGCAGCAAAAGTTCTGCGGACTCTTCTAAGGTGGCTGTAAAGGTGCCATCTTCTTTCTTTGGGAAATCTAGTTGATGTGTGTGGTCCTTCGAAAGAACTCTCTTCAGCCTTGCGGCCGAAGCAGTCGACGTTATGTCGCTGCAGAAGGATCTCCACGTTTCCCGTTTCCTCTTTCTTAATTCTTTCTTAAGGTCTTTCCGGTGCTGTTTATAGGCTTCCCAGTCTTCAGTTTTCTTAGTGTTTTTTGCTCTATTGAAAAGTTTTCTTAGCCCCGATTGAAGTAGGCTGAGCCTTCGGTTCCACCATGGTGTACCTTTGCCCAGACCTTCCTACTTTAGGGGTCAACTTTTCTCATACGCTGACATTAGAGAGTCGTTGATAATGCTCAAGATTTTCTCTATGTCTTCTGTCGATCTGTATTCTGTTGGTATAGACTGCACGAAGGTCCCCAGTCTGCCGTCCAGTTCTTCGTTGTATAAAGCCCAGTTCGTCAGCCTAGGATTCCTGTACGTCTTTGTCTCCATGTCTATACATTTTAATGTATACATGATCCATCTATGGTCTGACACTGACGCCTTTTTAGAAACGTGCCATCCCATTATATATTGTGAGATATCTCATGTAGCCAGTGTAATATCTATTACTGACTGACTACGCGATGTTACGAAAGTTGGTTCGCAGCCTCGGTTGAGAATCTCTAGATTTGTTGATAAAAGATATTCAGCTAAGGTTCTTCCTCTATCATTAGTGTCTTTGCTCCCCCACAGCAGACAGTGGGCATTCGCATCGGTACCGATGATGAGGTTAATATTTCCGGTATCACAGTGTTCCACCAAGTTCGCCATTTCCATGTTGGACATGGTTCCTGTGCTCCCTGTGGTAAGCACACGGATGCTATTACCAGTTGCTCTTCGCCTCTTCCTATGTTACACTTAACATTTACCGCAGTCACATCCCTGGAGCTGACCTGAGGTAGGAGGACGGCTTTAATTTTCCTGGGAATGTAGATGCATGTCCTTGGAGATTCCATTGTGGTACCAGAAACAACAGTGCCATTTAAATTGCTCAACCCTGCTATCCTGGATTTTACTATCCATGATTCTTGAATTATTGCTATAGTGTTCTGCATCTTGTCTAGACGACGACACAAAACAGTCGTCGCCATGCGACAATGCTGCAAGTTAATCTGAATGAAATTTATCTGCTGCAGCGCCATCTCTACAACCAAAAAAATCCCATACCTGTCCGAGGAGACACGAGGCATATGTCTCAGGCGGGCCCGCCCCCACTGGTAGAGGCTTCATCCCCTGGGGTTTCTACCTCTTCCATAGGGGTCTGCCCTTCCTGAGCCGACGCCTCGTTCTCCTTGAGTTTCAGGTTGAAAGAGGACAGCATATAGTTGATTTTGCCCTCTCTCTCCCTAATTATCTTAGCCTCATCCATCCCAAGACCAAACACAAAGAGGTTGCCTGGAAAGGCAGCCTCGGACTTGGCCTCGCGATGGAAAAGAAGCCACTTTTTGACGTGGTCCCATTGGTTCTGACCCTCCAGGCGGCGAAGTACGACTCAAGCATCCACCGGTGGTCCCGGTATCCACAGGGTCGCCCTCACCAGCCTTGGTAGCTCAGCCAAGGGGACCACGTTAAGTTGTGCGCCCTCCCACAAGGGTGTTAGGGAGCGCACTGTTTTTTGTAGCCATTTCAGGGACAACTCGTCTTCACAGGTTATCCTTAGGATTTCCCCTGTATACTTGATGCCCCTGAAAGTGGCTGCCTGTCTATCCGATGCCAAACACTGGTCAAGTTGCCTGTCCAGCGCTCCCATGAGGCCCTTTTGTACTATCTTCACCTGGTCAGCAGTCAGCTTACCAAGTGGATGCTGCACATCAACCACAGCTACACGGAGATGACTTGCAGCCGCCTCCCTGTAGCTCTGTTCTCTAGAGGTAGTCTCCTGCCTCCTCATCCTCTTTTGCTTTTCAGCTGCCGGAGATTCCGAACTAGCCGCTCCACCAGATTTACTATCAAGTTTTGTTCAAGGAGATTTATGAAAAGCGGTAAAAAAAACATTCCCTAAAGATATAATTGTTCTACCTCTCTTGCTCTACTTCGAGCAAGTTGTTATAACCCACTAGGCAGCAGAGCAGGAGTGTGCAAAATTGGAGCAGTATACGTTTCTTTGGCGTGCATACCAACAGACTATATCTCATTACTTGAAAATATTTTCTTA